CCTCCCTCCCACCCTTCCGCGCAACAAGCAAAACCTCATAACACCTTCTCCACCTCCCGCCTAACTCATAAATCGGCTCCCCAGACGCAGTGATCTTCACCCACACCCATTCCTCCACCAACTCTACATCCCACGTCTCGAATAGTCCCCCTTCGCCTAGTAAGATATTGCGAAAGGCGGGTTTGTTGGTCACCCACACGGCGAGGTAGCCGGTATCTTCTAGATGCTGGGGGATGGGGAGGGAGAGGAGGAGGGAGGTGAGGGAAGGTGTGCAGGAGGAGAGATGGTAGGACCTTTTGCGCAGGGCGGAACGGTTTGGCCACGGGGGATCGAGGAGGATGAGTGGGAAGGAGGGGGCGTGGGTGAGGAAGAGGGGGAGGGTTTGGGTGATGGAGCCGTGGAGGGNGGGCGGAACGGTTTGGCCACGGGGGATCGAGGAGGATGAGTGGGAAGGAGGGGGCGTGGGTGAGGAAGAGGGGGAGGGTTTGGGTGATGGAGCCGTGGAGGGCGGTGGAGTTGGAGGGGAGGTGGATGAGTGAGTTTGAGGGGGAGGATGAGGATGGGGAGAGGATGGTTATTAGGTTGTTGGACTTGTTTTGGATCAATTGTGGGTGTTCTTCGTTTCTCCAACGACTAGCCTCTTCCTTCCCAAATCTTTCTTTTCCAACCTCCTTACAGGACTCGTTCACGGCGGTGGCCTCATACTCCCCCCTTATCACCCTCGGTAAACACCAAGCCCCCCCATACTCCTCCCTCACCCCCTCGAGAACAAGCTCAATGTGGCGCTCAAGTAATAACTCTTCAATCGACGCCTGTCCTAGGTTCCTTTTCCCTTTTTCGGTTTTTGGTTCGGTGGATGGATAGGGGTGGGTGAGAGCGGGGGTGGAGATGATTCTTTTTCTGGAGCTTGTTCCTCGGGCTGTTTCTAGGGAGCGGGGGATGTCGAGGATGGTTGCGGAGAGGTGGGGGGAGTGGTGGAGGATGGGTGATGGGTTGGGTGGTGAGGACATTTGGGGGTGTGAGTGATGATGAGGGAGGGAGAGGTTTGTGAGGATGAGAGAGGGATGAGATGAGATGGGTATGAGGTGGTTAAGCGAATTGTTGATTGTTAGATGGTGAATATTTGAGAGTGTATTTTGCTGGTCTCATTTTTGTTCACAAACGCCATGCAGCCTCGAACCCTTCTCTGATCTTATCAAGCAACTCCGTCTTATTTTCTGATTCTCTTCTTATATTTTTCATAGCATAATATTGTTGTATTGTTAAGTAAATGGATGTAGCTCCGCTGAGTAATAGATATGAATCCTCTGGTGTTCGTCTACCGTCGGTTCAGCCAAAAGCGGGCTGGCATGGATGACGTTCCTCGGCAATTATTCATGGTCAGTCCTGTGCTTCAGCACCCTAAGACCTCTCCAACTTCCCCCCCCACCAAACATCGACACCCTCAAACCGACACACGACATCTTTCCTTACGATTGAAATTGACAGATCACTCGGAATGCTTATACCATCTCACACCCATCAACGATAACCAGAGCCTCTCGGGCGGCAAGGAATGCCCTCGGCCCTCTTGAATAATGATCCAACCACTTCCTCGGTGCGCCAGGACAAATCACCAGAGATGATAAGCCACGATGCGTCCAAGAAGGAGTCTGTCAGTACAGACATGGACACGGGGAAGAGGAAACCTCATAAGCAGAGTTGGGATTATGTTTGGAGAACGGGCGTAGCGGGAGGAATGGCAGGTTGCGCAGTTCGTTCCCCAATATAATACTCTACCCTCAAGATTAGATAAGATTATGGATGTGCTAACACTTTGGTACTCAGGCAAAAACCGTTGTCGCTCCCCTCGATCGAGTAAAGATCCTCTTCCAAGCTTCCAGTCCACAATTCGCAAAATATACCGGCTCTTGGTTCGGTGTCGCAACAGCCATGAAAGACATCTACCGCGAAGACGGAACCAAAGGACTCTTCCGGGGTCACTCGGCTACCCTCCTACGCATCTTCCCCTACGCAGCCATCAAATTCCTCGCCTACGAGCAAATCCGCGCTGTTATAATCCCCGGTCCTAACCATGAGACGCCTATGCGGCGGTTAATCAGCGGTTCCCTAGCAGGCGTGACATCCGTCTTTGTAACCTACCCTTTGGAAGTAATCCGTGTACGTCTAGCCTTTGAAACGAAGCGGGACTCGCGCTCTTCTCTGAGCCAGATTTGTGCGCGGATATATAATGAGGTTGTGCCTCCTCCGCGGAGTTCCAATACTACTGGAGTAGTGACAGCCGTTCATGCTGTTACGCCTAAAAATGGCCTTTCAAATTTCTATAGAGGCTTTTCGGCAACCGTCTTGGGCATGCTCCCCTATGCAGGAATGTCCTTCCTCACCCACGATACCGCAGGCGATATTTTACGTCACCGCTCCCTAGCACCCTATACCACGCTCCCCAAGCCTGCCAACTCTCCCGCGCATAAACCGCCACCTCTGCGTTCTTGGGCGGAGTTGTTCGCAGGTGGAATGGCAGGACTCGTTTCCCAGACCTCTGCGTACCCATTCGAAGTCATCCGGCGTCGAATGCAGGTCGGCGGTGCGGTGGGAGACGGGCATCGATTAAGTATTGGGGAGACGACGAAGATGATACTTAGAGAGAAGGGGGCGAGGGGTTTTTTCGTTGGACTTACGATTGGGTATGCGAAGATTGTGCCGATGGTTGCGGTTAGCTTCTATGGGTATGAGAGGGGAAAGATGTGGTTGGGGATTTAAATCGAATTTCCTCGTTTCTTTGATTTGCACGGAGGCTGTACTGTTTTGGATGATGATGATGGGAATGGGACCCGAAGATGGCATTGGAAAATGGTGTATGGAGTTTTTTTTTTGTTGGACCCGATGACTTTCTGGACGAGTGGACTGATAGATTGACTCGTTGATTTGAGTGGGAGGATACATAGATAGATAGATACCTCAAGACTGCTTCGATCCTTCTTTTCCTCCCCTTCTTCCTTCCAAATCTTCCCCTCTTTGCTCTTCTCCTTATACTTTTCCACCACTACTGTACCCAAGTATCAACCCATATCAATATTCCTCCACTCCCCTCCCTCCCTCACACTAAACCAAATAAAACGAAACGAAACGAAACACCACACAAGTCCTTGTACCTATACACCAGTCAAGAAAAAGTGGATCCCGTGGCGCTTTTGAGCGATGTGCAACGAAAGATATGTTAAGCTAACTAAAGTAAAGGAATAAGAAGAGGGAAGGGGAATAAGGATATGAGGATACGAATAAGAAGAAGTTGCTTGGAAGTTGGGTGGAGGAAAGATCAGATTAGTTTCTATTATTATATACTAGGGACTGGCACGACTGGAGTGGGCTGGGTACTTTGGTGTGCTAGCTAGTTGTTCCAAGAGGAGTGGAAGTGGTAGAAGAGGTAGAAGGAGGGGTATCCTATGTTAGTTGGTGTGTCTGAAGAATGTATCTGAAAAACGGGTGGGAAGTGAAGGATCGAAGGATTAGGAAGTAAAAGTATGCAGCGAGGTCTTGGCTGAGACGAGGACGAGGTGGGAAGTTTGAGGTTAGGTAAACTTTTCTTCCTTCGCTTAAGTGTTAGGCTTGGCTTGGCTTGGCTTTGTGGTGGAAGAGGTGGTGGAAGAGGTGGTGTGAGAGGTGGTGTGAGAGGAGATGGATGAATGGATGGATGGATGAAGAGGGATTGTGGTATCTAGTAGGTTAGGTAGTTATGGTAAGAGGGAAGAGCGAGTATTGAATTAGAATTATGATTTGGGAGTTTAGATGTGGTTTGGGTTGTACTTTGGAACTTGGGGATGTAAAGTGGTTTTTTTGTTGCAGCTGGTATTGCGAAAAGCGGAAGAGTTCAAAAGTGATATAGGTTTATACAGGGAATTTGTAGTAGAGAAGATAGGGATACGGTGGACTTTACGCAGGTAGCTTATGTGAATAACAATTGGGTATTATATTTACAACTAACATGCCATCATCAAACCTCGCGTTCGCACATCATCTCCCGACGCCCGTATTACAATATTTTCCTCTAACCCACTCCTCCCATTAAATCAGCATACACCCCTTAAATCCCATTCTCACCCCGTTCCACATATCTCCTTTTTAACTGTGTAAGACCGAAAAGAGAACATAGCTCAAACACTCTCCTTCTGCACCAACGGCGCGGGATTCTCAGGAAACCTCGACTCATTATGCTGCATCAACCCATCTCTACCCCCAGGAACCTTATTAACATCCTTCCCTCCCTTCGTCAGATGCATCCTATCAGTATTCAAACCCTTCAGTCCCTCCGAACCAAGATCACTAGGTCGCCAATTGGCGCTCTTCCGTGGCGTGACGCCCGACATGTACATACTATCAATCTCCTCAATGGAGCGATCCTTCGTCTCAATCAAAAAGAAATAAACAATAAAGAACAGCGCAAACGTACACCCCCCAAAGACGAGACCGTAGAGGTAATGAATCTCGTTCGTGATAAAGGTGCTAAAGAAGGAGATGAGGAAGTTGAGAAGCCAGTTGGAGGCCGTGGCGAGGGCGACGCATGGCGCGCGGTAACGCGCCGGATACATTTCGCCGGTGATGGTCCAGACTAACGGTCCCCAGGTGGTCGCGAAGGCGACGATGAAGATGCAGGTGAAGACGATGAGGACGGATCCTGCGGCGGGGGTGGATAGGGGGTCGCTGGCTGAGAGACAGAATTGGCCGACGAAACTGTAGATGAGGAAGCAGCCGAACATGACGGCGGCGCCGACCATGAGACTGATACGACGGCCGCAGTTCTTGACGATCCAGAGACCGGCGATGGTGGCGCCGACATTGACACTACCAAGGATAATAGAGGTAATGTAGGAGTTCTCAATACCAGTCGACTTGAAGATCGTCGTCCCGTAGTAGAAAAAGAAATTGGCTCCGGTAAGTTGTTGACCAGCTTGCAAGACCATTCCGAGAATCGTGCGGTACATCATTCTTGGGCCGGTGAAGCACTCGTGCCATGGGTGGTCGCCGCCTGCGTTCTCGGCTTCTTGCTGCTCGCGGATCTCAAAGATCATCTTGTCGACTTCGGCGCCGTGAGGGTCGCCGTTTTGGATGAGACTGGCCATGGTTTTGCGGGCTTCGACTTCTTTCCCTTTGCGGAATGCGAAGCGAGGGGATTCGGGCATGAAGAGGATGGCTGTGCCGAGGAGGATGGCCCAGAGGGCGGAGAGACCGTTGGGGATTCGCCATTGTGCGGAGTTGGTGTATGCTGCGGATGTACCGTAGTTGACCTATTGGTTGTAAGTATATATTCTGTTTTCATAGACGTTGCGATTTGATGCTTGTGAAAAGTCCAAATCCTCGGCGCTTATGTCAAAAAGAGAGGCGAATATAACTTACCATATAAGCAGTCCAAATACCCAAAGTAATCAGCAATTGATAACTTCCCACAATCACACTTCTAATACTCGGCGGCACACTCTCAGACTGATACATAGGAACACTAGTACTCAAAGCACCAATCCCCAACCCAGCAGTAAATCTCCCCATGGCAAATTGCACCCATTGTCTACCACTAGTAATCTCAATCACAACACCGATGATGTAGTACCAGGCAGAGGCAGAAATGGTGTAACGACGTCCGATACGATCACAGATATCTCCCGTGGCAAGACATCCAATGAGGGTACCAGCACAAAGCAACGCAACAATGGTACCTGACCGAACCGCCGAGAACTCTCCATTCTCGCCAAAGCGGTCGAGGAAATCGGTCATCTGGAGGAATCCTATATACTTCATTAGTCGAAGTTTTTGGTCATAATAGACGAGGCAGACATACCACTGATTTGCCCAGACTCATAACCAAACATGAATCCACCAATCGAAGCAATAGCACCGAGGATAATCGCTTTGGTAGTCGCAGGTGCTCCCTTATCGCCTCGCTCGGCATTCCTTGCTGCACCAAACGAATTCCATTTCTTGCCCTTTACTTGTCCTGCAACCACTTTCTCATCTCGTGGTGCTTCGGTAGTGTTTCTCGCCTCGGTTCCCATAGGCGAATCTTGAGGCGTCGATTCGAGGGGTGTAGCATTTGACGAATCCGCGGCCAGTCTTTCTTGAGTATTGGCCTCCACAGGCTGTTTCTTATTGAAGAGACCCATATTGCTTGATCTTGTCGAGATACAATATCGAATTGGATGAGTAAGACTAGAGAGAAAAGAAGAAAGGAAAAACCAGAAGGAGAGGAAATCGACGGGTGTATATACTAAGAAAAAAGAAACTAATACCTAGCAATAATGCCGGCTTCTAGTTCCGTAGACCCACGCGAACTCAAGACCTAGTTCGCTTCCGTCCAAAGGGGGAAAAAAACATGCTTGATACGGCAGTCCAGACGAATCGATGACAATAAGCGGAGCACCATCCAATGACGCCAAAGAACAGACATACGAAAATCATGCAAAGCCTTGAAAAATGATAGGTTTTCTCTGCTCTGTTTTTCACGAGGACACGACAAGAGATGCAAAACTTGTGGGAACCTCATGGGAATACTGTGTCCCAGGGCCAGACAAGAATGAGAAAAAGAACCACAATTCCACAATAACCCTTCTTCGTTGGAGTCCCCAATTACTCGCTCGCTCGCTAAAATGGATTGGGACGGTTGGATTCGAGACCCAGCGGCAGCATCGTGGAATGGCACTGGACTGGACTTCCATCTCCCATCTTCGAGTACTCCTCGGCGGTTCCAACGTCATTATACGGCCGACGTCCATCGGGCCTTCAGACACACATCCCCATCAGACCACTCCATCGAAATCCCACGCCAGGAGTCCAGAACAGAGTAGCCGCAGTATCACCGACTGACTGACTACTCGACCACCCCATCCCGTCACACCACCGGACTGTACCGGTGTACCAACACTAACACGCCATAAAAAAAACGGAATCGGTACTGACGAACACACCCATCTCGTCATCGATTCTTGAACTCCAGCCCGCCATTTGAGGGACTTCTACTCTGTCGTCAGATCCAAACTCAAAATTTCGAAAAGAGCCATCAATAACACCATGGAAAACCAGGAAAATATCCAGATATTAGGTCGATGTGTCCACCGCGGATCCACCCGTCGCACCCCTGGATAAGGTTGGACCCCTTTTTTCCGCTTCCGCTTCCGGACCGTTTTTTTATTTTCCTTTTTCACAACCTCACAACCTCAATTCAGAAAATTCTTACCATCAGCCGTTGGTCTAGGACTTGTCAAGAATACTCAAAGGTCACTTTGAAATATCTCCCTCCCATCCTCTCTCACCCTCAAAGACCGACCTTCGACGTCGTCTCGCCAGGAACAATATTCGTTTGTACAGTATACTACACATCCCGCCGCACCCGAAGCCCTCCCGGCGCCGAATGCTTATTTCCAGCCCACTAAAGCCCACCACCGTAACGTCATCCAAGTTCCAGGAGCCCATCAGATCGGTACGTACAGTACAGTACCTCAAATGTACAGCACAAAAAAGAGGTACACTACAGTACCCATAAGATCCACAATACCCACACACCGACATCAAAGAAAAACAAACATTCAATCCAGTGCCGTGGATATAAAACTTAAAATGCCTGTTTGGAGAGAGTATCGCGGAAGCCAAAGGGTTCATTTGTAATAAAGAAATAGGAATGGAAAGAAGAGAAGAGAGAAAAACAAGTCATGAAGTCATGAGCTAGCTACGTGAAGGAAGTCGGCGCGTTGCGTTATCCAGATGATGATGGGCAGATTACCAATCCAAGGACCACATTTCTTTCACACTCGCTCGGTGCAACTGAGGGTCACGAAAGCGAAAAAAAATTCTTTCTCACATCAAGATCCAGGGAACTCCAATAGATCTCGGATCCAAAAAATTATGGATTGGAAGAAATTGGTTTCTCCGTTCTATGAAATTCCCAACCCCCAATCTCCACATTCTTGCCCCTTTAACAACCCATCCTTCACGTTGGAGAACCCTTTTCATCCCCAACTTGTTGAAACGCCGACTGCTGGAGTACGAAATCTGGGAGTTTAGAGTAGTACTCTCCTTCCATTCAAACATCCTCTCACAACTCACCTAATCTATGCCATTTTTCTCGTGCTCCTTGCGTCGAAACTACATTTGAGATTTCCTTCAAACAAAAACTTTTCCAAATACAACAATATCCCCCTCAATCTTCATATATATAGCAAAGCCGTCCATTCTGGGTATCCATCAAATCGATAACGTTGAGATCCATAGCCAATCCTAACATGCGAACCCTATCACTTGTCCGGGCTCCGGATAATCTGTTTTCAGACAGTGGTTGAGAGAAACCTTCGTATTGAAATAATCGATGTTCCAAGTCTGTCTGCTGCCACTTCCACCAGAGACGATCGATTTGGGCGTGGTGTGGAAAGAAGAGGGGATCTATCGTCGAAAATTATTAGCAATCGATGGAAAAGGAACCGCAATCTATTCAACAATCTGGAAATGTGGCACGCACCATTCGGAGAGAAAACTCTTGGAAAATCCCCTCCAACAGCTTCGTGTATAGCTTGATGAGGTCCCGAGAACAACGCTGGCCCAAAATCTGCAAACCCCCGAATATCTTGTATCCTATTCACCACCCCGGGCGTATACTGGTGGCTCAGCATCGTCGGGGAGGAGCAAGTGTAGCATCTATGCAAACTATGTGCTCTGGTGCCTCCAGTTGAATACATCGGTCGAAGTCCAGCAAATGGACCGCTTGCAACGCATTTTGGTGGAAGATTGGGATTATACACACAACTTCGTGAGGTAGTACCATCTGGGCCCAGACCTATCGGTGGAGCAGTGAGTATTGGGCTGTGAATTGGATCGGAAGTGTAAAGGGTCCAGTCCCAGTACGGTAGGGCGCCGATATATCCGCAATCTTTTAGGGCGGTTTCGTAGATGAGTCCAAAGTATCTGTCATACGTTAGCCACATATAAGTTTTGTGTTTGAAGTACAGAACTTACCTGTGCCATGGCAGGAACTGCGCCAGCACTCTATTGCTGCCAATGTGAACTATTGGGATCAGCTTGCGGTCATTCTCTCAGGAAATATAGAGGAGATATACCTTCGTCGAAGATTTGTTGATGTACCCACGTAAAATCGTCATACAATGTTGTTGGCAGCTTGATTTTCGAGGGTTTCGTCGTAAGACAGGAGACTGCTTTGATGTATGAATCACGCTCCTCGGGAGACAACTTATTCCATTCCTTACGGACCACTGGATTTTCGCATTTCGGCTGGTTTTGGCGAGGGGAGAGAGATAGGGAGGGTGCGCAGAAGAGGAGGAAGGTGACCGCGCGAAGCGTGAGGAGTTTGGTGTTTACATGGAAACGCATAATCAGGAATTGAGAGATTTCGACAGCAAGATGGCACGTTGATAGGTAATGATGTTTTGTTTTTATCATGGAATGAGCAGCGAACCTTATAAGGAATCTGAATTGTCTAGGCCTGATATGTTTGTGAGGAAGGGGCGACTAGGTGGTAACTCATGTTGACTGATGAGCCGCACATTTGCGCGCAGAGAAGGAACTACCAGCTCAGTTGCTCAACCCTTCAGGTCCTTGGGCTACTAGTATATTGATTGGTGAACCTGGCTTCGCATTCCTCCCAATGAATATTTCGAACAATTGGTGATGCTCACCCGCAATGTCGCTTAACAGCAAACTACAGTATGAAAATCCTCATGACACTCAAGCCTAAGACAATCAACATCCACAATAAAATTCCATTACAATTTATAGCCTGCGGAAACGTATTGAAAACTCCCCACGACGCTCAATTCAGCTGAAAACCAAAAAGAAGTCAAAGAGAAAACGAGAAACACAATACCGCGGCTACCCAGTCTATTTGTGACTCTGAATCCATGGCATGCGCGAGACATCGTTTTCCGTCACTGCGGCTGAAGGACAAGGTTAACGCTGATCGGATTGTGGGTGTTAAATTGGTTGAACCAGTCATTATGGAGTCCTTAGCACCGCGCATCTATTTTAGACCCGAAAGCTGAGTCGGAGCTGGAGCTAGCCATAATTATTGGACAGCCTTCACAGGCTTCGCTGGATTTGTAGAATTGTTGGCAGCGCTTCCACCCGACAGCCTAGCAACAATACCAAAGTACGCCTTCTTCCGATTGAAATTTTCATCAAAAGGAAGTGCAGCGCCTTGCCCTGGAAAGGTTTGCGGCACCCAGGAGTACTAAAAGTCATAAGCAGGAAGTCTACCACCAGTCTACTCGAAAAATGCGTAGCTTATCAGTAAAGTCCCAGACTGTAATTCCTACGCAACCTTTTACGGCGACGCAAGCTCCGACTGAGTTCTCGTAGTCTTTGCTCTGCTGTGTCTCGAGTTCCGGTGTACTTGGGAGTTTCATTCTGATATCAAGTTCGGTATATGCCACTTAAAGCCCAAGAGCTGTGTAAGACTGCAAAGTAGCTATCTGATCCTTCTTGGAGGGCGTGGATCCAACAATGAAATGTGCCTGGACCCCCATCCCATCAATCTTGGTTTTGGAAGTTTGCAAGCTTTTGGCAATATTCAACGCCGCAGTCGACTTTTTCCCGGGGTTCTCGATGTTGAAATCGTTGTAGTACAACTTCACATCTGGATCAGCGGCTGCCGCCGCATCAAAACCAATCTTGATGTACTCCTCTCCAATCGTGTTGAAGAAAATTGATTTGCGAAAGGTACCGTCTTGCTCCAAAGCCTCATTAACGATATCCCAAGCGTAGCACTGTCCCTTATAATGTATTACTGTATTGGTGACATGATTTTGCAGCGCGGTCGTGAGAGTTTCCTTCGTCCAAGTTCCACCGGTCACCCACTTGGGTAATTGTTGGTGCCAGACCAAGGTATGACATCTCAAGATCTAATTGTTCTTCTTGGCCAAGTCGGCAATCACGTCGCCCTTTTCAAAGGTAAACTTATCAGGCTCGCACTCGATGGAATCCCACTATCGACTCGCATCAATACGTTTTTTACGCATAATTCGACTAAGCTGGGAACAATCCTTCATCGTGTTTCCCGGTGTGGTCTGGCCGAATTCGCTCGTGTTTGAGAGTATAGCAACCAGCGCCGTATCGGTCAATTCGCCATTATCCGTAGCACTTCCCAGATTTTTCACGCCCTACAGACAGTTCCGTTTAGCAAAGAGTGATTATTTGGAGGCTATGGAAACTTACAGCTGCTACTGCGAGAGTGTGTAATTGAGCTTGCGCCACGGGCACAAGCAAAGGTAGAAAAAGAGCGAAATACATCATTAACGACAGAAAATTTACCCAAAAACGAGAGCGAGAGAGGAAATCTAGAACCGGAGGTGGACGAGGAGATAAAGGGTATTAACGCAAGTACCAACCAGCACGAATGTGCCTTACCAGTTCCCTACCTCTCCGTGTCTGTGGTCTGGAGATGGGACAAAGGTACCATTTCTTCCAGGATAACACTTGCAAGAATCGCATGTTTAAGGGCCTCCTTGCCCTTCGTTTTGGCGTCCCGCTGGCTGATCTCACATGTGATATATCAGGCATATCGTGGAGAGTGGTGCAGCAGACATTGATGTATGTAACGTCAACGATAGATGAGACGAAAGTGCGACACCACTGCGAGACGTGGCTTGGAAGTGTAGCTGGTTACTCTACGAACCCGAAATTTTGTCAACATCCTCCGAACTCCTTTTCATGTTACTTGAAGGGATCAGAGAGTGGGTTTGTTGGGTATCTGTTGGTTGGGAATGGTTGGATGGGGGAGCAATCGTTGACGATAAAAAGATCTTATGGCTCGCTATGGTACTGTACCTCTCCACCATCGCCGTTATTCTTTACAACCTTGTAACTTTAAGAGAAAAGCCTACGAGGCATCTCTCCTTCAACAACTTGTAACTCATGGAATACGATAAATCCATCTAATTACAGTCGTCCATTCCATCCCCTCTTTCTGCCCCTATCCCTGGCCCCAAACCTAACTTCCAGACAGGCAGCTAAGCGTCTGGGCCGCGAGGTGCAAATTCAGCATTATCGGATGAGACACTTGGATGGATGTCTATGCTGACTTAAACTTCTCGTCTTTGGATATTTTAGAGATGATTCTTCCTTCCTGAGATGGCTCGCTGTACCGGCGGACAACCTTTTTTATAAGTTTCGTTTGTGTTGCGATGAGTTTGGGTGAATATTTTTATTTCCAAGTTCTCTTTAACGAGATAGGGTAGAGTTTTGTGAGCCTCAAATTCAGATGCGTGGTTTTTGTGGTGATCTTGCGATAAGTCACGGCCATACGGGAACTTTCTATATATTGGTATGTTGACAAGTAAACAAATTGTCTTAACACTATCGCCCAAAGCCACTGACGCGTCTCAACGAATGCTCGCTTGACCTACGCGAGAAAGGCGAACAAGACAAAATAGCATCATGTGCGTTGGAGGTCCGTGGAGGTCCATGAAAATAGCAATCACCACAGTTTCCTTACAATATCTGTGGCGTCCCACGAGCCTTGGCTTGTCTTCGACAGCTGCTACAGAAAATAAAGTCTGTCTTCGTAAAAGACAGCATGCAAGGAAATTCTCCCGTCAACGGACCTCTCGTCAAATCCAAGATCGCATCCCTATTAACTCTCACGTTATTTGATAGCAAATCTCTGGCCTTTCCTCGAGTCAAGGAAAGTACAAATACTGTATGATTTAGAAGTCTCTTGCGTTCTTTTACCACAAAGTTCCTACCAATTGACCATGATCTTGGTGCTTATTTTGGTCTATCAAGAATAAGGGATGTGTGCTATGGTAACCCTCAAATCCACCCTTTGATCAATTAGACTATTGTAACCGTAATACTATAGAATTAAGGGTTACTATTATAGCAGTCACAAATATAATAATCTATTCCATAACACGCCCTTTTTATATCTTAGGAGGGTGTGGAACAAGTAGGGTAGTAGGTATGGAATAAAAAATGGAATATAGGCTGTTAATACTATAACAACAGCTAATTTATATAAAGGACTATGTTCCCTAGTACTCCCCACTTTCCTAGTACCCTAATACCCGGCTATGTCGCCTTTACTAAAAAAGGACGTAGTAGTACGAGTAACGAGAGTTAGTACCGGACGTAAAATAAAGACAAAATAATCGTATTTAGGAATAGCTTTACTTTTTAGTCAGGTATATTATAAAGGGATTACAAGGAGTTGTCATTTTGTACTTATTGGGTTGAAAGGGTATTGGGTACTGAAGGTCATGGAGAATTGATTGCATTGTAAAAGGTAGCTATCTAAGGTGTTTATATAAAGAGTGTAAGGTTTAGGCAGCAGAGCTATAAGTGGATCAAATCAGGAAGTGGAGCAAAAGAGAAAGTAGACCCAACACAACAGTACTTTAATTACCAGATTAATTTATTTACTTTCTAGGCAAGGGGTGTATTTTAATTAAAAATCAACTCTTTATATTAACTAAAGTAACGAATATTTCGGAAGTTAAAAATTAATTAATTAGTAGGAGAATTCCATCATATAGTCTAATTAACGAATTACCTATGGTATTGATCAAATCGTCGATTTGAGGGTTACTGTGACAGTTTTTGATTTAGTGAATAAGGGTTCGCTTAGCGAAGTTGCGGGTGTACCCTTCCGTAGATAGACAAATACCTAAGGAGTGCGAAGAGCGTCTCTCTTCCCTCCTTGCGAACAATCTATTCCTTGATCCCCACCATAACAGTTACCATAGCACAGATGCATGTCGGAGATCAATCTTGGGAATGTGAAATAAGAGATACGTAATTAACATCTGTTAGTTACCTGCAGGTCTAGGTATTGTTTACGCGATTAGGCCTGTGCTTTCTGCGAAGAAAAGGTATAAACGGTGGCCAAAGATGGAAGGGTGTCTGTAAATTGACGCCAAACTGCAGGCTGTGCTCTAGAGCAGACAAATGGCAACCCTATGCCTTCCAAGGAGGCCAGGGTTGACATTCTACTAACCCTAATGTAGGATATCACCCCGTGTAGGAAGGGACCCTACGTAAAGGGGAGTAGATAGACTAGTCGTTATAGATATTTATAGAAACAAGCGGAATCAGTATAGGCAATAGTTATCTCAGTTCCGCTGGTTAGTGTGGTTAGTACAGTTTTCGAGATATTTGGTATAGTTTTAAACGCAAAATCTAAACCGCTAGTTAGTATAGTTCTAGCTACTAAAACTACGCAGTTGTCACGAATCACGTGTTTGCACGGAACGAGTGAAGACCAGGCGGCGTCCTGACAGGTCAAGCACTTTTGAATACTCTTATAGCAAATGGGATCGGTTCGGCTAGCTAAGCGATCCAGGGATTTCACTTGGATAGTATCACGTGATTTGGTCACATGACCATTGGAACTTGCAGGAGCTTCGGTTGGAGCTTGAGGATCTTGGGCTCCCTTCAAGCTCCAGCAGAGACGAAGGTTCTATATAAGACTGGCACTTCTGCCACTAGATAGGAGCTTCGTGCTCAACTTAGTTATCAATCTTATCATATTAGTTTGACATCTTTGATACAAGTAACGAGTTCACTTCCAAGTGAACAACCCGATAGTCTTCTTCTTATCATAGCATACCAACCAGCGAACACCCAGCCAAGTTTAGTTAGCCAGTTTGAGTATTCGTTACATTTGGTGTTCAGTTTTATATACTGTAAAATTAACTATAGTTTTAATCAATATTTGAAAACTATACTAAAAAAAGATAAAACTAACTAAGTAAACTATCGTGGTTTTATAAAACTATACGTTAATTTAATCTAAATTAGTAATTACTCCTTATATAAATGTCACGAATCACGTGTTAGCACGTGAGAAGTGAAGACCAGGCGGCGTCCTGACAGGTCAGGCACTATTGAGCACTCTTATAGCAAATGGGATCGCTTGGGCTAGCTAAGCGATCCAGGGATTTCCTTTGGTTGGCATCACGTGACAAGTTGGGTCGCCTGGAGCGATGAGCGCTCCAGTCGTCTATGTCGACTCGGTAGACGAGCGACCCTGGCGATCCAACAGTTAGGACAAGGCAACAAAGGTTCTATATAACACTGGCACGTCTGCCATTAGATAGGAGCTTTGTGCTCAACTTAGTTTACATTGCATTCAATACCTTTGCTGTCTTGACTACTTTGTACAAGTGACGAGTTTACCTTTGAGTAAACATGTGACCGTGTGGAGTGAACCACTGCTTGCTGTGATGAATACGGAGTCAAACGGAAACTGCTATATAGAGCGAACAACTAAGTGAGGAAGGAAGAGAGTTTCAGAGGAACAGAAGCTTATATACAGGCTGCCAGCAGCACGCACGTGCCGTGCTGCTACACGTGATCTGCCCCCAATTCCTCCAACTCCGTAACAAAACACACGACCTGATAGTTGTCTTCTTTCCCGCATACCAACAGTCGAACTCGATACCTTTAGTTAGTTAGATACCGGTTTCGTCACAGTAAATTCGTCTACTTCTCTTATAATATCCTTATTATCCTATTCCTTTAACTCCTAGATCTGTTACGGAGTTGGAGGAACTGGGGGCGGATCACGTGTAGCATGGCCCGTGCGTGCTACTGGACTCCTGTATTTAGGCTCTCGTTCCTCTGGAACTCTCTTCTTCTCTCACTTAGTTATTCGCTCAATATAGCAGTTTACACTTGACTCCGTATCTTATCACAGCAAGTAGTGGTTTACTCCACACGTTTACAAGATCTTCTTTTTAATTAATAGTACTTCCTCTTCTATATCTATTACGATATATCTACTACTTTTATTACGTGGATATCGGAAAGCTTAGTATATACGAGTACTTACAGCTAGTACTCGTCCTTTCTATAATATTAATTAATTAATTAACTATTATACTAACTTTTATATACTTTTATTACTACTGTTTTATACCCTTATTTACAAGTATCTCTCGTACTAACAATATCTAATAGTCCGTACTAGCGGCTAAACTTCCTAGGCGTAGGTTAATCTATACGGGGCTAGTAGGTAGATTATCGTTCTATTAGTACGATAAGTCTAGCGTTTAGTAGGGTGGATCATACCCATAGTATTAAGGTTATAGGCGGTGAGATTAAGCTAATTAGAGTACGGGTACTCTAAATTACCGAAGAAGTTACGTTGTAAGCTTAGTGCCGCCCCTTTCCCCGGTCCGTCCTTTAGGAGCTCTAACTAGTATAACCTTAACCCTATAAAAGTACCCTATGAAGAGCTTTATAAAATAGTCTTATAAAACTACCAAAACTGCTGTAACGAATACTCAAACTGGCTAACTAAACTTGGCTGGGTGTTCGCTGGTTGGTATGCTATGATAAGAAGAAGACTATCGGGTTGTTCACTTGGAAGTGAACTCGTTACTTGTATCAAAGATGTCAAACTAATATGATAAGATTGATAACTAAGTTGAGCACGAAGCTCCTATCTAATGGCAGACGTGCCAGTCTTATATAGAACCTTCGTTCTCTTGTGCTAGCTTGCTAGACTCGTCGCTCGGTCGCTGCTAGACTGGTAGACCAGTCGCCCCGTCTAGCGACATATATCACGTGATAACAATACAGAGTAATCCCTGGATCGCTTAGCTACTCCAAACGATCCCCATTTGCTATAAGAAACCTGGATGTGCCTGTCGAGGATTGCGCCTCTTATTATGACAAGTATCACGTGAGCACGTCATTCGTGACACCAAACTGTATAAACTGCACTATTGCCAACACTGAGCGGAATGGCGGAATGGCGGAGTAGTATTTATAGTTTTAGTAAAAGAAGTTTAAATGGCGGATGCAAAGTTACTGTCGCCCAAAATATTACTTCCCGCACCCCCTTCCCCCTAATTAGAGGTTATATCTGACAGCTTCGTGCACTAAAACTTGTATGGCGAAACTATCGCGGCACCGTATAACAATAGAGTTCACGACTGACCTCAAATCAGGGGGAATGGGATACTGTGTCTTGGTATTTGGTAGACTACTAAGTATATTGCAAATAGATTCTCGCAGAGACTCAGAGCAGGCAGAGAGAGGTCGATGTCGACAACAAGGAAAGTAAATGGTATTATTTAATCCGTACCCCACCTTCTCTGTACATCTTAGTTATGAAGATCGGTTCTCTTGGCGACTCTACAAGATATCCAAGAGATCCAATCCGATCTTCAATCTTGCACCTGAATGAGGATTTCGACCTTGGCTGCATGATGGCTTTCGGCACTTGAGAATTCCTCCGAACTACTCGTAAACATCTAGGAGGCATGTCTTAGCTGTTTTTTGAGCACATGAGGCTGATCTTCGACGCGGATGCAGTAACACATGAAGCGAGGGTCTTTTGAAAGCCTGCGCCTCCGTCTGGTGGGAGCCGCCTGGGCACAATTGTCCGTACTTTTATGTGCATTTTGGGAAGAACTTGCCGGTAATGGGACGATGAAATCGAGATCTTGACTTTGAATCTGAATCTGATTCGTAGCCTTTTTTGTCATCTGTTTGTAAGGCCTTGGAATTACTCTAAAACCCTGGAACCCAGCCTCTTATATGAAATCACATATGGTCGCATGTATACTTTTGACAACGGGAAACTAGCCGAAATTGTATGGTGGTATTTATCCTTCCCCACAATCTTATGCAGGGACAACACCCGACTCCAAAGGATGTGGTGTGATTTACTTATGCTGCATCCTTGCCCACCCGAACTTTCGATATGGTCACTATGCCATGGTGTCCATGGCCTGGATGGCTGGATGCAACCGTACTTGTACTTGTACTTGTACTTCATATAAAATCAAGTACACTGTGGGGTCGTATCCCATCTCGTATTGTATGCTGAAAGCTTGATTCGCTATTTTTACTTTCCGGTGTTCCTGAAAACAGGACTTTTTCTAAACAAGCTTCAGATAATTACAAAACAGACACGTCAACATCTTGGCGCAAAAATGCTCAGACTGGTTACGGATCCACTACAAATCCCCCAGAATCTTTTTGCGATAAGTAGCAGTAGTAGCACGTGAAACAAAACAATTGCCGTATCCCCTCGTTGCTATACATATACCTCCGCGATTTTGAGTTCGTCGTATCTACTTTTAGTCTTGGTACTTGCAATTGTTTCAACGTTGCCACTTAACTAGCGCGGAGCAAGTCGATAGCTGCGTCCACATATTACGCGGAGGTACTTCGTATTTTCAACAACCGACCCAAGTACCGTGGCAAAATGTCGTCTATGCATGATTGCAATTTGGCGCAACAACGGCGAATTGACTAGAAGAGGAAGTTCTGAAGATGGGCTACGTTGTAATTGGTCTGCTTTCACTTCCAAGGCGCTACATGGACGATCACACTTTCGTGAGTCAGGATTTTCGAAATACTCGCTTTACTCGAGTAAAAGTTAGCTGGTGGGGTGAGAAACATGCATGGATACAGGAGATAGTACCCGGGGTGAGAACTGGATTGTATAAGAAGCCCTCGGTTCCCGTGCATTGGTAGACACCCACCCCGCCTCCCTTTGACCACCTACATACCATACGTCAACTTCCAATAGTCAAGATGAAGATCGCTATCGTTGCCTCCCTTTTCATTGCGGCTGTCTCTGCTGCTACTGTTCCAAGCGAGTTAGTTGGACGTCAAGCATGCTTTCCAAACGAGGGTATGCCAAATGCTTCGCTCAGTTGAAATTGAATGAACTAATAATTGTGTTTCAAAAGTTGCTTGTCGATACGGCGACGATTGCTGCACCGGCTTCTGCGTACCAAGAGGTCAACAAGCGTTCTGTGGTGCCAGTAGCGCCGGGACTTGTACGAACGATGGCGGTAAGTTACCCAACCCCGGTTCTAGTTAGTAGTAGCATGCTGATGTAGTCATAACAGACAGGTGCCTCGCTTCGAACAAATGCTGCAGTGGATACTGTGGATATCCAAACGGCGACCCATCGAACGGATTGAGATGTACCACTAGACCGGCATAAATTGTTTGTACTAGATGGTGGCAGACTTTAAGGCAAGAGGAAGTGGGAAGAAAATATGGACTTATCATTCATTAAACTGTATATATTCAATGTACATGAAATAAGGGTATGGAAACTTTCCAGCCTTTGTCAAGCAATGAAAAGTCATCCTACTTCGTGAGATTGCTGCAAGCGTGTCATTCTATGATGTTGTATCCTAAATGATTATTACTACCTTAAATCAAGTCCAAGGTGATTAGCAGATTCCAGGGTTAACATGGGTTGATATGACGAGTGCGATAATATATTCGGCGAAACGTATAGAAGTTTGTTAGCTACTATTTCGAATTGCTCCTGGAAACTCAATTCGCCTTTGATTGCCGATATGATGTAGATGAAATGCTTATTCCCATCCCTTTCAAGCCCCTACTTTCATTGAAAACCAGCCATGACCCGTTTTACCACATTTCCGCCATTTTCCAAGCGACTATCGTACTTTTACATCGACCTACTTGTATTCTCCAGGATAACCTTTCGCTTCTGGTTCGACGTTGAAGTGGGCTTGGCTAGGGTATTTACGCCACTACCGGTATTTTCGAAAGGTCCGTGGTGCATACATGGCACTAATCCTGACCCCAAGCCACGACTAATTTAGCTGTGCGAGGCTTTTAGAATGATCCTATTCTCGGCGAGGTATGTAGAGTACTAAGTAGGTCTCTTGTAGAACAGTACCTAGTTTACTTGTTTTTTATATGTAGCTTTTCTTTAGATTTATATATTTGAGACTTCCTCTGAGAGATAATTGTATAACTTTATGCCTAATGATGTTAAGTGCTCGCTTTTTCGCTTTATATCTCAATCATTCAGGGCTCTGGTGTAGGAGAATTATTCATAGTATCTGTCCCAGTCCCAAAAATGAACACATTCCCTTGCACGCAAAGTGTAGGTAGAAAAATGGTCTTTAATCTATGAATACTGTACCTAAACAAAACGACATTATCTATATTATTGAAATGTTGGTCCATGGATGATCAACCCAATAACGCAAATTATTTGGGATAGTTCGCAAGTCAATTGTGCTAGAAACACTAGCACAGTACACATCCAGTAGCTTTTACGCGAATGATTGAATGCGACTCTAGACAATGGGGAGTAGTCATTCAATTCTAAGCCTAGGAGCCTAAAAGCCTGGAAGGTATAGCTGAGACGAGAATTCGCCAATCGTTCTCAAGATTAATTTACTCAGCCCGTATCGCCATGTTGGCTGTAAAATTGGGTGCGCCCAAGGAACTGAAGGAAGAGCTGCCGATGCAAACTCCAGTACAAAGAGGTGAAATTATTCAACGTTTGCTAGCAAAGGCAATACATAGGAAGCGCAGTTTCGCCTTTTCTATTCTCCCATATCAGGTAACATTGACACCTTGACTAAAGAGTAAACACACTAGCGTCCAAGCATATTCTCCAGCGCAAGAAGGTCACGCAGGCCAATAACCCCAATAGAGTGTAGAGTGAAAATGTTGTGAAATCGAAGCCAATTACCAGTCATGGTATGCTTCAACACTTTTCCATTCTTTTCATTCCAGGCGACCTCCATCATTGCCATTGTTTCCTTCAGAACCAAACATATCCCCATTCTCAAACATTTCGTTTTCATGCGCGAAAGGATCTCCATCAGATTCAGCTGTGGTTGTCTGTTCCTGGGTAGCAGGCCACGTTTCCAAGTCCCGAATCTCAACTGTCAGGCTCAGCGTCTCCATCATGATATCGGCATCATCGTTTTGCCTACGAGAATAATTGCGCCGACGTCTTTCTGCTAACATGGCGGAACTCTGTCGATATAACATCGCCACTCTTAATCCACGTTGGATTGATGGGCGTGTGTGCGAGCTGCCAGACCAGGAACCGCAACTATATTTGATTAGTCAATTGACCAAAATAATAACGCTCAAAAAGGCACATACCAGAAAGGACATGTGCGTCCAGCCCCAACTTCCTCTAGATGCCATCTCTCTACACATTCCTTGTGCGCATTTTCTCCACAAATTGAGCACCACGTCGTGAGTTCAGGTTGTTTGATAACGTCGGTGAAGGGCTCAAGGCAGATCCCATATTCTGATCCCTCCTGGAGAGGCTTGCGAGGATGTCTTTGGATGTAAGGCGATACATACCCTTCCCTCAACGATCGCAGTCGGTAGGCATCTTGGGTTTCCATTCCTGCGTATGCTGTAGGCTGGGCTGCGAAGGAGTGTTGATCGGTCTGTTGTGAATCTCTAAACCTTATACGCTGCCTTTTGAGGAGGTTTGATAAAATTAGCGCGCTTAGGAACCAGCACAATGAGTGGCTGACCCGTTACTTATCTGGGCTTCTCGCTTATCGGTTGGCCAAACGGCATCAACTTTCCGATCCCTACAGTTCACGTAACTTACTTCACTGCCACAAAGCACACATGTCTTAAATCACACACGTTACAAAGCACATATGTCAGTCCAATTTACATTTGTTCTTGGAAGTTCAATTAGGAAGTCAATGATACTTGAAATATGTTAAGCGAGGTTCGCTCCTCATGTTGATAAGAGAACTATAGCCCGCTCTGGCATGTCTTATGACATGGAATCTTGATTATATAAGAACCTTCCGTACAATAGCTTTAGTGAATTATTAGTATTCTGTTTTTTAGCCTTCTAGATACATACAAATCCCCACTACCGTACCCAAAAGTCGACAACCTCTCCCACATAGCTTTCAACAAAACTTCGCTATCAAAGGCATTAGAAATAAGCGTTCTAGACCCTAAAACACGAACCATTCTATCTTCAAAGCAGCCGACTTGGAGATTGTGGTTTTATAACAAGGAAAACGAGTTGTTAGAAAGGTTGTGTCTGCTGTTATATGTTGAGCAAACCAGCGTGGAAGGAGTTGATCAAGACTCTCTACTATAGTCTGACTCCAGCAAAGCTGATCTGCTACCCAGCCAATAGCAGCTAGAGATAAACGTTAAAGAAGCCAGGGAGGTAGCCATAAGCAATATGACCGCCAGCACATATGGAGACCTCGTGGAGGCTACTGGAATATGACCAGAGAAACGCCCAAAGACGTTAGAGAAGATGTTAGAGAGGATGCAGTAATTTTGCATTTTAATTTCCAAAATACAAGAGACATATAATGGCACTCTTCCTATCCTTGTACAGATAACTCATCATTGGTCCAGCGAAGGAAGACTCCTAGACATTACTCTATCAGTGTTGGTTTGGCTTCTTAAGCCCGGACACTGAATATAATCTTTGTATATTCGTATGTGGTTCAAAGAGAGTGAGGGTGCTAGCTAATATATGGTGGTGTTGTAGACTGTCTTAGACAGTACCACCACGTGACTCCCCCTCCAAGGACTTGAATGTACCGACAGCTTGAATACCAGCATTGTGTTCAGAAGGATAGACACTGTGTTCCATCGTGTACTTTTATCTGATGAAGTGACTCATCCAGCAACCTTTGTGGTCAGAGAGAAATGCTGATGAGATGAGATATTTCAGACTTTAAGCAATAGTTGATGTGGCGAGAGCGTTGGAAGTTTTGGCTCTTCCAATTAGAGCAGGGAGAATTGTTAATAAGATGAAGCATTTTCAGTATAATCTTATTTGACACACATGGTTTACAAGAAACCTTTCCGGGAGGGGGCAGAGGTGGAATGTGTACTTTTGCTAGATGATACTTAGCCCCAAAACAGGTCAGAGACTGGAGCGTCAAGGATCCGAGAATTATATCACAGTGGGACCTCTTTCAAAACGCGTTTCCAAATACTTATCATATTAGCAAGACAATTTGAAAATCAGAGGCTTTGGAATACGAAGATCAATGACAAAGTCTATCCTCAATACTTGTCTTAACACGGACACATCCCAATTTGCGCACTATGATTTACTAAGGTTTCAGTTGTGGATAAATTGTATACCCTAGACTTCGGATATCAAAGAGAGAAGAACATGTCTACCGAAGGTGTTCTTATCTCGAGTAGACTTGTAGCATCTTGGGTAACTCTGGACGGACATTTCAACCAAATTTCAAGTATTTATCTCTATCAGCCGTCGGGTACGAGTATACGTGAGTACTTACCGTCAATATTATACGGAGAAAATACACTAGTCGTAATATGATGGCACAGGCCTAGATAAAGCGAGCATTGGCATATCTTGTTCACCCAATCCTCGTCAATTGGTCAGATTGATAAGACGAATTGGCTGTTGCTAAAATTAGTGAATGAGAAAGGATGTCGGAGGACCATGCGGGATTCACCCTAACATCATCCGTGCTAGCTGCATCGTTCGTAGCTAATCCTCGTCACAGTGACTTTTATAAGTTAATGGTTTCGTGCTAGGATCTTCTATTCATCTTAAGATCCTAAGGACATCCCCATCAACAACCACAGATAATCTTATCGCCACTATGGCGCTTCCGAGCAATACGTGGCTATTTACCTTCAAAAACGCAGATCTGCAAGTCATTGTAACATACAAGGGTCAACGAATTGTTGGACGCGTTTCATCAGACGCACTTTGCCGTGCTTCCAAAGTATGGGAAAAGTTCATTCATGTATGTCCCTTTCCCCTTTAGTGCGTTGTCAGAAGTTTGCTCAACTATCGACACATCTTTTCCATCTTCCCTCAGGCTTCCGAGATATTTTGAACGCCAGGATTCCGTGCTGACATATTGTAGCCACCTTTCGGTGTCATTGGTACCGGGCGTCTAGTTGCCAACGATGACGCACCAAAGCCTGTTTGTACTTCCGAAAATATGAATTCTGCTAGCCTCAGAAACCCGGCAACATCACCTCAACCCAGTACATTTCCTAACCCCAAAGGCATGATACCTGAACTTGATATGAAGGAATGGGCCGGCTCCGCTCTCCTGATAATATTCCGCATTGCACATCTAGAGGTCTCCAATATCCCGAAAAAGGTGTCCTCCCAAGAGCTTCATGAAATAGCGCGGATCATCGATTTCGCAGATTGTGTGGAATTAGTTGAGCCCTGGGTTGAAGGATGGTTCGCTGGTGTCTCTCGTCATGAAATACACATGCTTTTTCCTTTCTGGGTGTTTGGGAAAGAGCAACAGCTCGAAGAGCTTGCTGCGAAATCTTTACTTGGAGAAGAATTCCCGCAATTGGGAGCCTTAGATGCAAACAAACAGCAAAAAATGATTGGAAAGGTATGTGAGATGCCGCCCGGAGTGGCTGGTAAGTGAAGATCACAATACACAGCGGGCTCGGGAAGCTTACAAAGAACATAGAAAGCATTCACATTTGCCGCGTACAGATAATTCAGATCCTCCTTGATATCCCCTACACAGAAGCAAACGCATACACCGACCTTAATAAACTCGGCAAACGAAGATGCTGTCATAATGATTCCCATTGCGACTCAACAAGTTACGGTTCTCTCGTTCTCCAGTTGGTTGAGTTAAAACTCTGGCCGCAACGAAAACCAAAGACAATTACACGATCAATTTCCTCGCTTGCCCATGACCTAACGAATATGAAGATTTTAAATTTTTCTGCTGGGTCCTATCCTGCGTTTTCTGCCGATAATATACACCAGTTATGTCCCAAAATGAATATCAGAGAGAAGGTGGAGGAGGTAATGAAAAGATTACCAAGCCCAGTTCTGGATAGTCATAAGGCCCACATGGCCACGCAATATGGGAGATTGCATCCCGGCACTTTAGAAAAGAGAAAGCCTCAGTTGGTTTCGCGGGGACTGAATACGCGTCGAGATTTCCTCCCTTCGAAAAAGTCGCTCGTTCTACAAGGGACACGACAGAAACATAATAATACTGTCTAAGAATTATTAGTGTAGTACTACCTCACCTCAACTCTGAATTGACTACTATCTGTAAGCTTTTATGCTTTATGCAGTGTTTAGACTTAGTTTTTAGGTACAGGGTGTGAAGGATGGAACAATCGACCCGTATCTCGTCTCCGTAGAGGTTGGGTAGCTGATAGGTGCATATTTACAAACAATGTAATGGGAATTTTACACTTTCATGTAAAGGGCATTGTCAATGAACTCTTTCAAAACTAGTATAACTTACAGTGTATAAATACCATCAAGTTTATGTTGTGAAAAACTGTGACAAAATGACTGGTTTGGATGACTGTAACTGGTCTTGATGGTTGCCTAAGTCGGCGTGATCCTGTTGTAGTCAATCAATACACCAGAGAGTTGTTCTTAAATCAGCGACTTCAATATCTACTCTTAAGTTTTTGCAAACTCCATGTAATCGTTTCAATTTTACTGAATCTACTGGGGCATTCCGAATATTTGGGCATATGTGTCATTGTGTGAACAGCGCATCGCTCTCGCTTAAGCCACTAGAAAAGGCCAGCTGTTACTGGAATTGCACGCGTGTAAAATTTGGCAGTGGTGTATCCAAAGCAATCCCTCATTCAAATCCAGAATACGGAATCTGGCCATATTCTTATCGAGTTCCGAAAGTGAGACTTAAAATGACGAATGTTGAGGAAGAATTGATTAGGCAGCAGCAGCATTACGTGACACCGGAGAAGGAGTACTACATATCTGTCCCTTAAACACTTAAGGCAGCTGGTTATTTAAGTTAATGATAAATCTTAGAATTAATCCGAAACTTTCAAAATTCCACAGACCATTCTGATCTCACTCGCTAAACAGTTTCTTTTTGAAATTTTTTTATCACTGATGGCTTTCGTCAAAACTGCGTCTCTTTTTAATTTTCCCGAAGTCGATTTGCCTATTATTGTTACTCATAGAGGACAGCAAATCACCGGTAGAGTTTCTTCTAAGGCATTGTGCCTAGCGAGCCCCGTCCTTGAGAAATTCATCTAGTGAGTACTCTATTGAGGGTTTATTTATCCTCTACCCCCTCCCCCCTTCCTTTGTATTTCGTTCAAGATATCTTTACAAACGTTCATATTGGGGTTTTAGACTTTCACCAGTGATGACTGTCGGACTTTCTGAAAAGAGCGTTAAATCTGAAACTTTACAGTCCTACCTTCGGTCGGCTTTCACCAGCAAAGAATGAACCACCAGTAACGTGTACGGGACGAGGAAAAAGCCAGACAAAGTCCGGTTTGGAGGAGACACCAGCAATAATCGCCGAATCAGTCGGACAGAATGAATGTGTGGACTGCGACATCATAGGAAATGGCGTGAAGAATTGTAAATTGGCCTCGACAAAGTCAAATCAGGAAGTTGCGCCAGGATTGATGTTTGGGGGGCATATTGACTTTCAAGAAGACAACGCGGAGTCTTTACGACTATTGTTCCAGATCGCGCACTTTCAGTTCAACAAGGTTCCCTTGAAGCTGCAATTTGATACACTAATCGGGATAGCCCACTTATGCGAGATTTATCAGTGTGTTCAATTAGTTCTACCGTGGTTGGACAGCTGGTTAGAGGGTGGGATAAAAGAGTGTGCGGAGGCTGGGAAGGAGGAATACCTGTTTATTGCATGGTCTTTCGGTAGAGCTGATTTGTTCACGGAATGCGCAAACAATCTCATCAATGAGGTCTATCTGATCGACGGGTTACCAGCGGTAAATCGGGGATTCGTCAGATATTTGGACGACATTGAAGGATTACCACCAAAGGCCATCGGTGAATTTGTTCCGTCCACAAGAATCTTTGCTAGTTTACTCATATAACCAACAGAGGCTATTCTCCAAGCCAGATCAGAGAAACTAGAACGATTGCTTGACATTCCGTACAAAACTGCCAGAGATATCCTATCCAGCCACCCAATCTACAAATGCTTAGCAAATGAGAAGCTTTGTGACTCCCTTACCTATGGTTCTCTTATTCTTACACTCTCGGATATAGAACTATGGCCGGAAAAAGTACCAGCAATGATCAACATAAGTGTCAAGAGATTGACGACCCAATTGGCGTGCTTAGATGTGCACGTCCTTCCGGACTCGCGTAATAAAGCCCATAAGGCCTGCAAATTTGACATAGACAAGGCGGCTAGGATAATATATTGCGAGAAAGTTGATTGTACACTTGATTCACACATTCGTCATATTAAAGCCCAAGAGAGGAAGCTGGCTCGGCCGAACGAGTAGATGTATATAGACTTTGATGCTATTGGCGAAATATGACAGGGACAATTTGCCAGATTATCATTTTGGTTTAGCCAGAAAGAGCAACGTCTAATTTGTATACTGACCCGTTTAGATATTATGTATAAGCCCTCCCTTTAAAAAAATATTCCACTAAATAAAAATCTAGATTCAAGAATCACGTGTATCCTCTATATTAATATAATTGTAAGTTTCTACTAATTAGGGTAGAATGATTATTTGGGAATATAAAAACCAGGAGTATTTACTAGCTGCTCTAGTAAGCCTTATAGGAATACTGTCCTTAAGGAACTTTGAATAGAACTATATGAATTATGAGTCAAGGTAATGCTTTAGAACTTAGAGCCAGACAGGGAAAGGCTCGAATCTAACAACTGTGCACATATTCTGTGAAACCCCTACACGTCGTTCCTTCCTCTCCTTGTACCTCTAATTCATCGTACTCTAAGGTACCTTAGCTCCTTCCGTCTCATACTGACACTGACCAAACTTAGGTGCAAAGTCTTTAAACGAATCCTCCCCCACCCGACAAAACTTCAATTTTCTCCAAACTCAATAGTCAGTCTCGCAAAATCCCCTCATCCCAACACCTCAATTGTCAAGACCTCCCATCTCCTTTATGGCGGATTCGTCCCCAGGAGACGGCATTAGCAGAGGCACTCAAACTTGACTATCCCATGCAAGGCAGAACGTAAGAAACTTCGAAGTTAACCAGGTTCAGACCTCTACAAAATATATCCGGAACATTGCCGGCTGATGTCCGCAGCTGATTTTATCCACTGTACCAAAGCGGCGGCCGGCATCCCGAACATCTTCATCATCCAGGAGCCCTCTTTACCACGCACAAGAAGTTTCTTTCCAAGTTTCGGTATATTCTCCAAAGGTTTTCCGAATAATATCCCTTGTTCTGAATGAGAATCAGAGGATTACCTCAGACTAAAATGCCACATCATCGCAGAATGTCGATCATCTCTCCTAGTTCGAAGTAAAAGTCCCTTACTATTGCCCCAGACTAATCTTGTTATAGCCTTACCTCTTCAGCACGGGCTGTGCAATGCACCATCCTATTCGTGCTTTTGTTACATACGTTGGTTCTTGGGCGACTCCGCTTTGAAACAAGCTGTATATGCGGGAAGGGGGCGTGAATAGGCAGCAATTACTACTGGGCCACAATTACACTGAGGGGCAGCAGCAACAAGCGCTATTTTGCTGCATTGCACCGATGGCATGAATTTCCTATTACTGTATGGAAAGATGTTGGCCGTATTTCAAGATGCACGATCTGTATATTTCTTCTAGTCATCTCGTCGACTCGAAACTAGCCATCACGATGCAACCAAAGAGTTCACTCCATCTCTCTAACGGCCAATGATACCTACCGGCTTCCCCGGAATATACCACTACTCGTACATCACTCCTTAAATTTCGTTTAAACTGTACTCTCACTGGCTTCCGGAATCTTTACCACTACAGTGATAAATCGATATTATACAGAATGCTGGGTGGCAGAGTGCACACACACGCGCACACATATATGTGGAGTGTAGTGGAATAGCAGGATTTGGCAAGACGGCAAAATAATTTTGGGGGTCGATCAGAGGAGAGATTTCTACAGGTTCCTAGGTTTGAAGTCCTACTACGTGAGGCCATCACTCATCATAAACTCTATATATGAAAAGAGGGACTTCTAACCATTAGGAGTTTCTGGTTCATGCTGTGCCGCACTCCGCCCTACTCCTCCCTACCACATTGACATTTTTTATTACTTCGATTTGTCACCATAGCTTTCTTTCTTCCAGCTGGCATATCTTTAGCTGTGGTTCAGTCTTTTCGTCTTCATCAGGTGTCCAAAAAAGCAGATTGAAAGCGAGATATGAATTTTCCATGTCTTGTTTTTCACAACATCGACGATCGCTTAGCAGGCATACCGGAAAATGCCTTGGTCTTACGCCGCAATATATCTTGAGTGCCAATTGCTTGCCCTGATTATGTGTTGCTGGTCTTAGCCGCTTCAAGCCCTGCACCTCCCTCCAATCGACTGCTATGATGATCCTCCCTCCATGCTAAGCCTCTGGTTGCTACTGCGCGATTCTCAACGCGGCAGAAGTTTATGTCAAACATCAACAACCCCAAACCCACTGCCAGCAGGGTGCTGCGCCCTGATGCCTGGATACCTCATGACCTACATATATGTTCCGCGATTTCTCGATATGTTCTTTTCTGCTTTACTTTTATCTCAACACGCAAAAACATAGCAAGATATCAGATTCAAAATGGCACTTACAGAAGAAGGACCCTATCGTGATGATCCAAACGATCGTTCTGAAGTCTCCATCGAGAGCGAGGACCATCCATATGTTCCTCCCAATACTTATTTCAAACTTCCTCTAAAAGTCTTGACCATTGCTATCTCTGTCCTCTCTGTGGCCACTTGTGGTCTCCTCATCGCCAGCTACATCTACGCTCGATTATCGCCAATCGAAAGTTTTGGGTGGAGATTCGGACAGTCAATTGTCGACCTTTCAATTTGTGTAAGTTGTAACCTCTCTTTCTCGCATACAGTTGCAAATATTCTAACGAAGCGTCTTCCAGTTGGGCGTCAACTTCCTCATCACGACTCCAGCCATATTCTTGCAGCTTCCCATCGTCCTAAGTATGGCCATGGATATTGCCATGTCGATTGTAATTCTGGTCTTTTCTTCTAAGCTTCTCCGCTACGCCTGGCCAGGGAACAGGTCATGCCACAGGGGTCATTATGTTTACGATCCAATCAAGCATCGAGGAGATTGGCAGAAATTGCCACCTCGAAGTGGTTGCGACAGGGCAGTATTTAACCTGAGATTTATGATGGGCTTTGCCTTCGGTGTCAGTATTCTCATCGGGTAAGTTTCCCTCAATCCAATACGCCTTGACTTCTAAAATATACCATATCACGCATTAACATTATCTAGCATCCTGATTCTCGTATCTCTGCTACTTCGTCTCGTTGCCGTCGCCAGAACCAGATTCTGGGAGAAGATTTCGTTCTGGGAGATGAACCGACTGCCTGGCCAGATCGCATTGTCGACCCAAACACCAATTTCTAAAGTTACATGGAGGCCATCATACAAGCTTCAGTTCAGTGTAGCTTTGTTGAAACAAGGGCCAGAAGATGTCGAGGCTCCAATGGCTGTGGACGCACCTGCTCAAAGCAAGACTCCAGTTGCTGCTGGCGAAGGCACTGAGGCTGCTAACTTGATTTAATTGTTGGGTTGTGTATAGACTTAGTACTAAAAGGCGAGGGATTTTTCCGTATAATGCTGTAATGGATTACAGCAAGAACCGATGTGTCAAATTGAACTTTGGAGGAAGTTTTCGTATCTGCGATGGGAATGGGGTCCTTTCTTTTGTGCCTGGCGTTTTAGCCAAGTACTATTTTATGTATTCGCGCATCTAGCCGTCAGTCTGCTTTCCGGACTAAAACAGCTTATAGATCACTATTACTGTTCCATGCAAAGATCTATAAACTTTATCACTTGAATTCGTTGCCAAATGTGGCCTGCTCAGGAAGCCATTTGAGTGGAATTGAGTTAAAAGTCTTTGTCTATATTAAAAGGTTGACGAGTGCAGTGATCTGGCTATTGGGGAACAAAACATCAAATTCCACCGTCCAAGTGAGCTTGCTAGACTCTTGACATCACGGAGTATTCATCTCATGTGATTTTGAATAGAGAATTTGCTTGGACTACTGTTGTCAGCGAGTTTGTCCTTAATTCCCGAGTCTGTTCAAGATATTTTTATTCATCTGCTTCTGAGTCTTACTTTTTTTTATTCACATTTGTCCCATCAGAGCCTTAATGTCATATATTCAGCCTTTATTATTTTCATGTAGACTTAGGCTTCTTAACAGGAAACATAAATTTTGCTTAAATAATAGCCGACAAGTTATCTCGAATAGATACCCGTAGCAGCTACAAGCGAGGTACACGTAGAAAGGTACTCGGGCCAGTGGAAGGCTAGCACCCTAACCCATTGATAGAATTGAAAGGATAACCTCTAAAGTAGTTGAATATAGACATTAATATTAAAAACAATTAAAATTCAAAAGCTAATAAAACAAACTTCTTTCTACAAATAATTAAAAGACAGCGATGCTGTCATTTCTCAACTAAATTAGAAGTCAATCCTTCTAAATTTTACAGTTAAGCGGTTTTTACCCGAGAAGAGTATGAATACCAGAGTATTCTACAATAAGTAAGTTATTTTTATATAATTTACGGTATTATAGAACCCAAATACAAGATAAGATGGGAGAACAGTTTAAAATAATTGAATATCCTTTAATACTACTCTTCATTATAACTGGGGCGGTATTCTTAATATCAAGTAGTGATCTAGTTTCTATATTCCTCTCTATAGAATTACAAAGTTATGGTTTAACTTATACTTACTTAGTACAATATATCGAAATTCAGAATTAGCCACTAGGGCTGGACTGACTTATTTTTTATTAGGTGGTTTAAGTTCTTGTTTTATTTTATCCTTTAATACTACTCTTCATTATAACTGGGGCGGTATTCTTAATATCAAGTAGTGATCTAGTTTCTATATTCCTCTCTATAGAATTACAAAGTTATGGTTGTGCGCCGAGTGAGGCGTATGTTGAGGAGATAATATACAATATTTATTCTATATTATTATCGAGTATATTTGGCTCTCTTCTTTGAGGATACTCGCCACGGGTAATCGTGTGTGTCGATGCTAATAACACTACACATTTCATAGCAGATTACAAATGCGGGAGTAAGAATGGACTGCCCCAATCTGATACTTCCGTAAGTGGGGATGGTCATGGACAGGTTAACAAACTTGATACGTGTAGAGTGGCCCAGCTTGGCCTAAATGTTCTAAGCAGAATAATGCAGCATTTAATAGGGATCCTAAATGTTTCTAGTAGTAGACCGTATACCAGAAATTGCCAAAAACCCTATGCTTACTTCTACCTTGAAGACGAAAACGCGCAAGGTCCTAAAACCATCAATTCAAACACATACATATCGCAACCTCGGGATCTAACCGCCTATGAATATAATATATATTTAATGCGGGGACGGAGCTTCCATAATAGCAATTTACATGCAAAGGGAAGCAGTCAGAAATCGTCAACTCTCTTCAACCATGACTCTAGTAATAAAGACGCAGAGTCTCTCAACTTAGAAATAAGCAGCGACTCTATAACGTCCGCTAGTTCGTGAGCAAACAAGGAGTTGGACAAATATAAAACGGGTAAAAAGTATAATGGTATAATGAACATCTTATCTAACCCTACATTTCTTCAGGCTTGCTATTTAGAAATAAAAAGTAAACCTGGTAACATGTCCAAAGGAATCTCACCTGAAACCCTTGATGGTATAAACCTCGGATGATTTGAGAACATAGCTTCCCAAATACATACGGGAAAATTCAAATTCTCCCCTACTAGGAGGGTATTAATACCTAAACTTGGGAAAACCGAACTGAGACCATTAAGTGTCGGAAACCCTAGAGAGAAAATCATCCAGAAGGCCCTTACGGTACTACTGGAAGAAATATGAGAAAGAGAATTCTCAGAAAACTCTTACGGTTTCAGACCGGGTAAATCCTTACAACAAGCACTATTTCAACTATATCGGAATGGATCACCCTATCAATGAGTCATACAAGGAGACATATCGAAGTGTTTCGATAAAATCCCACATGACGTAATCATGAGCAGGATAGAATCCCGTATTAAATGTGACAAGACATTGCAATTAATTCGAAAGTCCCTCACAGCAGGATATCTAGATCCTAAGACATCACTACTGATAAAACCCACGGAAGGAACTCCCCAAGGAAGTGTCCTTAGTCCATTATTAGCCAATATCGTCTTAAACGAACTGGACCTAACCATGGACAGGATTAAAGATCTCTATGAAAAGGGTAAGAAACGAAGCAGAAACAAGGAATACGACAAACTAACCTCAAGAATACAACGTCTCCAAAAATCCCACCCGGGATCCGCGGAAATAAAGAGTCTTGCTCAGGAAAGAAGAAACATCCCTAGTTCTGATCTTAACGACCCCAATTATAAGAGATTGATGTATCTTAGGTATGCCGACGACTTCGTAATCCTAGTCACAGGTACAATGGATGATGCTAAACATATCAAACATTTAGTGGCTGAAGCATTACAAAAGAAATGTGGACTAGAATTACATAAAGACAAGACAGCCATCACTGCATGCAGAGACGGATTTCTCTTCTTAGGAGCTTGGTGCAAAAAGATATCCAGCCTAAGAGCAGGACTAACCACAAATACACAGGGTAACCCATCCAAATATAGAATGAGGATGAGAATCGAAATTCCTGTAAATAACTTAATTAATAAGCTAAATACAAACAAATTCGTTATTCTCAAAGCCAACGGAATGCCTTCGGCGACAGCCAGAAAGGATCTTGTAAACTTTTCCCATTACGAAATAGTGAGTTTCTATAATCAGCGTATCCAAGGACTGACTTCATTTTATAGCTTCGCGGCTAACTTAACTAGTTTAAGGAAAATAATAATGTTCTTGCACTTATCCTGTGCCCTTACACTTACACTTAAACACAAATTAAGAACTCAACGTAAAGCATTTGCTAAGTTTGGTCGATTGCTAAGAGATCCTGATACAGGGATCCAACTGACCATACCCACTACACTGAAAGTAAAACACTCATACAGCGGAATTGATCAAACTGATCCTCAGGACAATCTAAAACAATCGAGATACGCCAAATTAACGAAATCTAGCCTAAATAAGAAATGTATCGTTTGCCAAACTTCAAATAATGTCGAAATGCACCACCTGAGAAAGGTAAAGGATGTGAAAAATAAAATTAGAACTGGAAACAGCACCTATGCACAATGGGTGGGGACATATCTCCGAAAGCAGATACCTCTATGCACGTATCATCACGACCTTTTACACAAAGGTGACTTAAATTACTCAGACATGACCAAAATTAGAAGTTATACTACATAACCCTTACAATATTTGGAATGAATCTGATGGAGAGCCGTATGATGGGAAACTATCACGTACGGTTCGGAGGGCAGGGTAACCAATCCACTGACCCTACTATACTTACTTAGTACAATATATCGAAATTCAGAATTAGCCACTAGGGCTGGACTGACTTATTTTTTATTAGGTGGTTTAAGTTCTTGTTTTATTTTATTAGGTACTAGTTTATTATATGCTAATTCGGGTACCACGAACTTAGATGGAATATATGTTGTAACTAGCATTAGTGATTTGGCAAATGCTATTACTCCGCATGGTGCAACAGATCTAGCCAAAGAATTAAATCCAGTCTTAGATGGATATAAATCAGATTATATAAATATCTCTTTACTAATTTTAAGTGTAGGTTTTTTATTTAAAGTAAGTGCAGCACCATTTCATTTTTGATCACCGGATGTTTATGATGCAATACCTACCATAGTAACGACATTCGTAGCAATAGTAGCTAAAA